GGGCGGGATGCACGACAGGTCAGGAGATCGAAGAGGCGGTGTTGCGAGTGGGAAGTGTGGTGGGTGTGGAAGGAGGGATGAGAGAGGAGAAAACTAAGCCGAGATGGTGGAGTGTGGTGTTGTGGTGGTGGGGTGGGGTGTCTTTGAACGCTGGGGGGCGAGAGGTTGGCAGTGAGGCTGAGTTGCACAGGTGAGCTACACCGCTTGGTGAGGAAGGAGGGAAGAGTTCTTGGTTTCCCCGCCCGCAGAGGAGAAAAAAAGAGGAGAAGGAGGGGTGATCAGCGGTTACGAGGGCGTCTCGTGAACGTGGTGAAAGGTGTTGGAGGGTGTCAGGTGTGCAGCGCAGCCCGTCGGTGGGGGAGTGGGTGTAGAGAAAGGAGTGTGTGGAGAGTTGCGGTTGAGCCGAGACGTGGGGGTGGTCGTGGGCCTCGGGATGAGGTGCTGAAGAATTGGCTTGTGGGGGGTGGTGTTTAGTGTTTTCAAAGAACGGTCCACAGGTCGGTGGTGGGGGTGTGTGGTGTGTGTGGGGTTGGTGGGTGGAGATGAGAGTGTGTGCGTTGCGAGTGAAGTGAGGGTGTCTGAGTGTGTGTTGTGTTGTGTGTTTGTTATTTTCTTTTTGGTGCGAGGTCGGTGGGTGGTGTAGGGTTTGAGAGAGAGTAGAAGTGGAGGGTAGGCCCTTTCGACGAGAATGTCGGGCAGGAGGGCGGTAAGTGTGGTTTTGTTCCGAGAGTCTTAGTTCTAAAGACAAAGACACCATGATACAGTGGGAAGAAGAATTTCCTTTTTCTTCATTCACAGATACCAAGCGCCGCAGGACTTGAAGTTGAGGATTTTATTTGCTTTTAAACATTTTGTTGAAATATCAGTTGACGGTATTTAAAAAAAGTTGTTACCATTTGCAAGTTGGGGACCGTGCGTTATACACCTGGGGGTCCATTGACCACATTCAGGGACGAAGTCGTAGTCCGTCCCCTGGGAAGCTCCTGTTTTCCTGTACCGGAACCTGCCCCAGCCGCCAGGCAAAACAGAGAGCTGCTTTGTCAGGTGTGATTACTTGTTCAAGCATTTTTTCTAGGATTTTGTAAATAAGAAATTAAACAGTATGTAACTCTGGTGTCTCTGGTGGTGATAATGTATTTGGAGTTTAGCTGTGTTTGTTGAGACTTATCCACAGTTGTTTTTCTTTATGTTGGGTAGTGTTTGATGGAGTGATACAACATTTGTTTCTCATTTACCCATGATAAGCGATGAGTAGAAAAAGAGTGGGTTGCTTTCCAGTGCCGTGACCTGATTGACAAGATACCCATCTGTGAATTCCATAGAAGACTGTTTGGTACATGAGCCCTCGGCATTCTATTTTGTGGTAAATGGTGTGTGCCAGGTGTTGTGTGTTGGGAAGCTTCGTTGTGTGCGGCCAAGTGTGTTTTCCAAGGTGTGTGACGGTGTGCGTTCCCACGAGGTACATGTGGGTGCGCGTGCTCGGCCCGGAGTGCTGTGTTTGTGTAGTGGGGGTAGATGTGAGTATTTCCGGGGTCCAGTGCTGTTAGTGGGCTAGATGGGAGGTATTTCGGGGTGCTGCGTCGCTGGCTGTTAGTGGGTAGATGGAGTGTTGGGGTCCAGTGCTGGTTTTAGTGGGTTAGTGGGTGTTCTGGCGGTCCGTGCTGTTGCTTGTTAGTGTGGTAGATGGAGTGTTTTCGAGGCTCCGGCGTGGTGGCTGTTTAGTGTAGGAATGGAGGTTTGCCGGTTCAGTGGACTGTTTTAGTGGTTAGATGGAGTGTTTCAGGTCCGGGTGCTGTCGGCTGTTAGTTGGGGGGGGTTAGGAGGGAGTGTTTTCGGAGTCCGGTGCTGTGCTGTTAGGGTGAGGTGATGGGTGAGGGTGTTTCGCGGGTCAGTGGCTGGAGTTGGTGGAGGTAGATTGGGAGTGTTTCTTGGGGTGGTGCCCGTGTGCTGTTAGTGGGGGTTTGAGTGGAGTATTCGGAGTGCTGGGTGCTGTGCTGGTTAGGGGTGGTGAGTGAGTGTGTGTGCGGCGGTCCAGGTGCTGGTTAGTGGGTTAGATGAGTTGTTTGGGGCTGGTCCGGTGCGTGTGGCTGTGTTAGTGGGGTAGATGGAGTGTTTGCCGGGTGCCGTGCGGATGTTGCTGTGTGGTGCGTAGATGAGTGTTTCGAGTGTCGGTGTTGTGCGAGCTGTTGAGTGGGTAGATGGTGAGTGGTTTCCGTCGCGTGCGGTGTGGCTGTTGAGTGGTTGAGAATGAGAGGAGTGTTTTGGCTGGGTGCGGTGTGTGCCGTCGTTGATGGGGTAGATTGAGTCGGCGTGGGGGGGGGTTTCCGACCTCGGTGCCTGTGCTGTTAGTGGCTGTAGAGTGGCGAGTCTATTTGCCGCGCTGTCTCGCAGTGCCGGTAGGTTGCCTCAAGTGACGGTTGGATTCCAGCCGGGTTTTCGCTGTAGTGCTGTGGGGTAGTACGAGGTCTGTATATTTGTTCTGGTGGTGAAGGTGCTGCTATTCAGTGTTTGTTTTGCGGCCGGCCGGTGTCTTTTTATTATGGAACCTTCGGTGCGTTTGTCTTGTTGTTCCTCGCTGCTGGCCGCGTGGTGTTCGGTGGTTGAGAGGGATATAAGAGAAAGACAGGGCCAGAAAAAACTGGAGTGGGACCACTTCAGCCGCAGAAAAGTAACAGAGCTGGTACCGAGAGCGATAAGAAGGTTCTCAAAGGCGTCATTAGCAGATGACATGAGGCGCACCGGAAATACGCTGCGCCCAGTCTACCCAGCTAACAGGCACCAGGCAGCCGATCGGAAGGACACTCCAAGTCTAGCCCCACTGAACAGCACAGGCACCGCAGCCTGAACAGCTTCATCGCTACCACTAACAGCAGCGAGCCACCGGACCCGGAAACACTCCCAGTCTAGCCCACTAACAGCACAGCACCGAATCGGAAATGCCATCTACCCACTAACAGCACAGCGCGACCGACCGGAACGCTCCCATTACGGCCACTAACAGCACAGCACGGACCCAGAAGACAGCTCCGGCCATTACCGACTAAACAGCACTGGACCCGGAAAACTCCCTCTCCGCACTAAGCAGCACGCACCACGAGACCCCGAAACTACTCCCATCTACCCTAGCAGCCAGCCAGCACGGGACGCGCAGAACACTGCCATCTTACCCACGTAAGGCAGCACTGACCCGGGAAGAACACGTCCCCATCTACCCACTAACCAGCCACAGCACCGCGATCGGAATCAGCTCCCATCTCCCCAGCTAACGGGGACGCACCGAGCCTGGAACACTGCCCATCTACCAGCTAACAGCACTGGACCCGGAACACGTCCCATCTACCCCTACAGAACGCGGAGCCCCCGCCCCGCAAGAAGAGTTTTGCCATCTAGCGCACTACAGGACGCACTGACCCGCGCAGAAACACTCCGTTAGGTAGATGGGAGTGTTTCCGGATTCGGTGCTGTGCTGTTAGTGGGTAGATGGGAGTGTTTCCGGGTCCGGTGCTGTGCTGTTAGTGGGTAGATGGAAGTGTTTCTGGGTGCGGTGCTGTGCTGTTAGTGGGTAGATTGGAGTGTTTCCGGATCCGGTGCTGTGCTGTTAGTGGGTAGATGGGAGTATTTCCGGGTGGTCTCAGTGTCATTGCTAATGACGTTGAGCACCTTCTTATGCTTGGTTACAGTCTGTATATTTTCTGTGGTGAAGTGTCTATTCAGTTTTTTTGCCTGTCTTTTTTATTAGGTTATTTGTCTTCTGAATACTGAATTTGTAAGACATTTGGGGGGTTTTTCTTTTTTAATTTTTCATTCTTTTTGAGACGAAGTCTCACTGTCGCCCAGGCTGGAGTACGATGGTGTGATCTCGGTCACTGCAACCTCCGCCTCCTGGGTTCAAGTGATTCTCTTGCCTCAGTCTCCTGAGTAGCTGGGATCACAGGTGCGTGCCACTACGCCTGGCTAATTTTTTTGTATTTTTAGCGGAGACGGAGTTTCACCATGTTGGCCAGGCTGGTCTTGAACTCCTGACCTCAGGAAATCCACCTGCTTTGGCCTCCCAACGTGCTGGGATCACAGGCGTGAGCCACCGCACCCGGCCTCTTTATTTGTTTTTGAGAACAGAGTTTCGCTCTGTTACCCAGACTGGAGTGCAGTGGCATAATCACAGATCACTGCAGCCTCAAACTCCTGGGCTCAGGCGATCTGCCCACCCTGGCCTCCAGAGCAGCTGGGACTACAGTCAGACACCACCGTGCCTGGCTAATTTTTTCTGTGTTTTGTAGAGATGGGAGTCTCACAGTGTTGTCCAGACTGGTCACAAACTCCTGGGCTCAAGCGGAGATGTTCCCGCTTCAGCTTCCCCAAGTGCTGGGATTACAGTTGCAAGCCACTGTGCCCAGCCTCTTTTTCTTATATATGGCCGTGTAGTTGTTCAGCAGTTGTGCAGTTGTTTAGTCTTTGTTAAAAAGATTATTATTTACCCTAACTTACTAGCTTAGGAACTTTCCAGAAACTCAGTTGCCCATATGTATGGGTCTATTTCTTGAATTCCTTCTGTTCCATTGTTCTATATGTCTGTTTTTATGCCAGTATCACATTGTCTTTATTATTGGTGCTTTATTAATAAATCTTTTTGTTTTTTCTTGAGGCAGGGTCTCACTTTGTCACCCAGGCTGGAGTGCAGTGGTGCAGTCATGGCTCACTGCAGCCTTGACCTCTTGGGCTCAAGCAGTCCTCCCGCCTCAGCCTCCCAAGTGGCTGGGACTAGAGGTGCATGCCACCACACCCAGCTCATTTTTGTGTTTTGGGTATGTGTGTATGTGTGCCTCAGCCTCCCAAGTGTCTGGGACTACAGGTGCATGCCACCACACCCAGCTAATTTTTGTGTTTTGGGGGGGGTGTGTGTGTGTGTATTTGTGTATGTAAAGACGGGGTTTCACCACATTGCCCAGGCTGGTCTCGAACTCCTGGACTCAAGCCACCCACCCACCTCGGCCTCCCAAAGTGCTGGGATTACATACATGAGCCATCGTGCCTGGCCTGTCTTCTCTTCCTAATAAGTCTTACAAGATGTTTATTGATTTTATTTTCTCAAAGAACCAATTTTTTGTTTAATTGTCATTATTGCTTTTCTTTTACTATTTCATTGACTTCTACTAGGATCATTATTATTTCAGTCCCACTTTGGGTCTTGTTTGCTTCTGTTTTTCCAGTTTCTTAAAGAAGCAGCCTGAGACATTTCTGTTTTTATCATGTAGGCATTTACTCCAAAAAATTTCACTTTGAATTCTGCTTTAGCTACATCTCACAAATTTTGACTTGTGGTTTTGTTTTCTCTTCTTTTGATGTCTCCTTTTGATTATTATTATTTCCTTAATTTCCCTTTCAATTTTTTCCTTTGACCCATGTATGGGTTATTTTGGTGTGTTACTTAGTTTCCATATGTTTCAGGGTTTTTTTTTTAATCTTTCTATTATTGATTCCAATTTCATTCCATAGTGATCAGAATACGTACTTTGTATGACATGAGCCCTTTTATGTTTGAGACCAGCTTTATGGCCCAGAGCACTGCCTGTGCTAGGACACACTCCACATGCACCTGTAGGCTGTGTGCCTTTCTGGTGTTGGCGAGTGTCTCATGAATGTCAGTAGGTCAGGGTGGTTGGTGGCGTTGCTCAGGTCCTCTGGGACCTTACTAATTCTCAGACTACTTCTTGTATCAGGTATGAAGAGCATGGTGTTTAAATCTCTGAATTTATATTTTTTCCTCAGCCTCTGTTTTTGTTTCTTGTATCTTGAACCTCTCTTGATAGGTGTGTGTGAACAGCTGGGCCTAGGAGACCTGGTCATTCTGGGCTTGCCTGGCCCTGTCTCATTATTCTGTGTTGGTCGTTTTATTAGGTTGGTGCAAAAGTAATTGCAGTTTTTGCCATTGAAACTGCAATTAATTTTGCAGCAACCTGATACTTTTTTACATTCTGTTTTGTACAAAAGGATTTGTGTTTTGTCTAGCTGGGTTTTCCTTCATAAAGTGCACTTATATATTCTCAAAATAATCTATGCTTACTGGACTTTGGATTTTAAAAATAGCTTTTAAAGTTCTACAAACATTGTCATAGTTATTTCATTTAAAATTGCTTTTGTGATTATAGTTTAGTTTAAAAAGAAACAAGCAATCAAGCTTTTAGGTTTTCCTGAGTAGCTATGGGTTAATTTCTCTGACCTTTTGTATAGCCTGAGAAACCTTCAGAGTTCTTACTCTATTTGATTAAATTATTTGCTATTACAGCCATCTAACAGGAATAATTCCTGTTACAGAAATAATGTGGAGGGTTATTATTCAGGAAAAAGAGGCTGGGCATGGTGGCTTACACCTGTAATCTCAGCACTTTGGGAGGCTGAGATGAGAGGATCACTGAGGCCAAGAGTTTGAGACCAGCCTGCAAAACATAGTGAGATCCGCCTCTATTTTTTTTTTTAAATAGGAAAATTACCTTGCATTTAAAGCAAATGCTATAAATTTTCTTTAATGTGGATTTTGAATAGAGAAGGTTTAAAAGGCACTTCGAAATGTATTGTCTCCATAAATGTCACGAGTAGAAACTTTATATATCATTATGAATGTGTATTGCCACCATTTTCCCAGGGGTTAAAAGACAGGTAGACTATTGCCTATTAACCCAGGGTTCTCCTAACCGATTGGTCATTATTGTCATTATTGCTTTTCTCATTTGTCATTATTACATGATTTCTTTCTGTGCTCATTGTGATCTATAATGAGGAAATAGCAGATCTTTTGCTTGTTAACAGTGTTTTGTGTCTTTCTCGGGAGAGATTTTGTACCATGTTAATCATTATGGAAACACTACTTAAGAGAATATGACTGAAATATGTTTGGATTTTTAAAAATATCTTTCTTAGAGACTAATATTGTCTGTGGACCTTTCTACGTTTGTTTGTTTTTGAAACAGTTTTGTCACCCAGGCTGGAGTGCAGTGGTGCGATCTCGGCTCACTGCAGCCTCCTCCTCCTGGGTTCAAGTGATTCTCATGCCTCAGCCTCCCAAGTAGCTGGGACTACAGGTGCGTGCCGCCACACCCGACTAATTTTTTGTATTTTTAGTACAGACGGGGTTTTGCCATGTTGGCCAGGCTGATCTCGAACCCCTGGCCTCAGGTGATCTGAGCCTCCCTAAGTGCTGAAATTACAGGTGTGAGCCACCCCACCTGGCTCCTTTCTATATTTTCTAAGTTCCTATCTCTGAGAACAAAAGGTCAGGAGCATAGAAAACGTAGAAAGGTTCTGCAGACATGATCCTAGTTACGCCAGTGTTTCTACCCTGTGTTTTGCAGGTCAGAGACGAGCAGCACCAGTGTTCCCTGGGGAACCTGAAGGTCCCCCTCAGCCAGCTGCTCACCAGTGAGGACATGACCCTGAACCAGCGCTTCCAGCTCAGTAACTCGGGTCCAAACAGCACCATCAAGATGAAGATTGCCCTCTGGGTATCGTGTCGTCCTGCAGTGAACACCATAGGGGATGGGGAGGCCGGTGCTGGCAGGGATACCTGTGGGCCCCGGGCATGAGGCCGGTGAAGAAAGCTCTGTGTCGGCTGCAGCTCTGGGCCACAGGAGGGCGCCGGTGCAGGGAGGAGACACTGTTGCTGGGTATCAGAGGGCTCCGGGGAGAAGACAAAGGCTGGGACTTAGCCATAGAACAGGCCACATTTCCAAGTTGCCTGAGCAGGCCCACGGCTACTCACAGTACTTTCCTGTGAACCCAGCAACCTTACCGTTATCCTTTGGCCCGGAAAGTGTTACTGTTGGTATCAACAAGGTTTTCTCCTGAGTCTAACTTTTCAAAGGTTGTTCAGAAGAGAGAATTTAATAAAACTCCATGAGACAGTAGAACTTACAGGAAAAAAATACTTTTTGTCCAAAATAAACGGTGATTCATTTGTAAATAGCTAAGGAAATGTTGAAAGTAAAACTGGCAAACATATGGAGAAACACTAAAACTCATGAATCAAAGAAATGCAAATTAAAATGAAGAGCCAGCTTTTTTAGAAAATTAAAACAAATGACTTCTGTTGAGAGGGCAATGGGAACAGCCTCCTTGCCCCTGGCAGAGACTGGGGGTGTCGCACACCTCTCCAGAGGGAGCTGTGGCATCCTGGAGCCATTCATCTGAAGGCTCCTTGGCCTTTCTTCTAGAAACCTGATTCTTGTTTTGTGATACAAAGTGTGGGGAGACCAGGAACATAAAGATGTTCACTGCGGCGTTATTTCCTAAAACCAGAAAAAATCTTTAAGCTATCACAGTCACCCCAGAAGGGAGTGATTTACAAGGTGTAGACTCTGCTCAAGCCAGCCCAGGGACCACATAACTGGGAGACCGCAGGCCTTTTGGGTACCCCCTGCTCCTGTGCTCACACAGGAGCAACTGGGAGACCCCGGGTCCTGCGGATACCCCTGTTCCTGCACTCATGCCAGGTTGTTTAGGGTGATCTTGCTGGATAGCAAGGGTTCTGGACTTTCTTCCTTCCTCTGGGGACGCTGGGTGGAAACCACCTTTATAGAATATGGAATTTGGTCTTCTGTCGAGGAAACGCGACTCTGGGCTCTTGAAGTAAAAACGTTTTCCCACAATTGCATAGAAATACGTGCAAACGGAAGAGACTAGAGGAATACACAGAAGTGCCTTGGGGGGCTCCTTGCCTGAGATGTGGCCTGGGGAAGCTGGAGGAGCTTCTGCCCAGGTTGTGTGGCACCAGAGGGTCAGCTTCAGGGGGGTGGCCTGCCCTTCCACACCGTCCAGGCTTATCACTGCCACCACCCTGTTGCTGCCACCAAAGCCTGAAGGTGTGATGCCCCAGCTACTTAGCAGGCTGTGGCGGGAGGATCTCTTGAGGCCAGGAGCTTGGGGTGTAGTGCGCGATGGTCACACCTGTGGACAGCTATGGCACTCCGGCCTGTGCAGCTTAGCGAGTCTCCCCATCTCTAGGGGAAAAAGTGGTGTTTGTATCACAGAAGTGATATTTTGGTTACTTAAACTTTCCTTTAAAAAAAAAGTTTGAGCTAAGTTTTAAAGAAATGTTTGCAGATAAAGACATCCCAAGCTGTTCCAGTATTAGGATGTTACCAGGGTCACCAAGTTTAATGTTTGTGTTTGTGTCCACCTCTAGGTGCTCCATCTGGAAAAGCGAGAAAGGCCTCCCGACCACCAACACTCAGCTCAAGTCAAACGGCCCTCTGTGTCCAAAGAGGGGAGGAAAACATCCGTCAAATCTCATATGTCTGGGTCTCCAGGCCCTGGCAGCAGCAACACAGCTCCATCCACACCAGTCATTGGGGGCAGTGATAAGCCTGGTGTGGAAGAAAAGGCCCAGCCCCCTGAGGCCGGCCCTCAGGGGCTGCACGACCTGGGCAGAAGCTCCTCCAGCCTCCTGGCCTCCCCAGGCCACATCTCGGCCAAGGAGCCCACCCCTAGCATCGCCTCGGACATCTCGCTGCCCATCGCCACCCAGGAGCTGCGGCAACGGCTGAGGCAGCTGGAAAAGTAACTAAGTGCCGCTATGTTGTTTCTCAGCAGCAGAGCAAGCGCCGCCCACCCTGGGGGAGTGGGTTTAACGCAGCAGAGCAGGAGGCCGGCGTGCTTGGGGGAGGGAGGAGTCATTTTGCGTTAACTGAAAGCACTAAAGGTTGTGTTGCTGTTGTGCTCACTGCGTCTTGGACTTGGGAAATAAAACCTGCGGTTTTCTAGGATTTAGTCATTTAAATATTAAAACGTGATGGAGTAATAGGTTTCACAATAGGAAAGACAGGAGGCAGCGCCGGGACGCTGCTGTGTGCCTAGGCTCCCGCCAGGAAGACAGACGCAGAACTGGCCCGCAGGCCTCGCTGTGGCCCGGAGAAGCCCTGGCTTCCCCGTTGTGCGAGGACAGAACCTGCTCTTCTCACGCAGTCAGATCCCATCGCTGCCGCCCAGTCTCTTGGGTTTGTGTTTGGATGTCTGTGTTGGCTCCTTATTTAAGCCCCGTGACACATAGGTGTGTTAAGGGTTTCTTTAGATAAGGAGGAAAAAGTCATCTGTAGCTATGACAAGCTTCAGATGTTAACCTTGGTGGAAGAAACAAAATTAACCCTTGAAATAGTTCTCCCTATGTGGAGTTATAAGAGGTGTGTCGAGTGATAAGAAAATAGTAAAAGAAATGGAGGCAAAGGTGGAAGCATGTTTGCTTCTGAGCTGTTAGAAAAAGCACACGCAGACTGTGGGGCTTGCACAGCCACCCTCCTCTGAGCCACACTCACTTTTTTCTTTCATGCTTTCTCACGTCCACTATTTTGGAAAGAAGAAAACATTCCTTCTCTCTTGCTCCAGAAGGAAATAGAATTTTAAACAAGGAACGACTTTTTCTCAGGAGCTCAATTTGGGAAGTAGAAATGATCTTAGGGGCCACTGAACAAGACCGGTTGTCATTTTGGGGGTCTGTGTTCCATCCTTGAGCAGAGAGAAATGGAAGGAAGGGCACTGCAGTCTCAGATGGGAAGAGAGCACGTGACTTGCATGAGGCTTTGAGATGGGACACGCAGATTGGGGTAGGACAGGTTAGAAACTGCTTAACAAGGACCACAGAGGTGATGCTTGTACTAAGGACACTGTGTGGTTTCAACCTCGGGTGCTCACTTGGTGAATCATAAGATCTGCACGTTTAGAAAGGAGACTATTCCTTAGCGGGTTGCAGCCTGCAGGCCGGCCAGCCTGACAGGCTGGGAAGTGCAGCCTCTCTCTGAGTCCGGAAGCATCTCCAAGGAGGAAGGGTAGGGCAGGAGCTTTGTGCGGAGTGCATGTCCTCAGCAGGTTCCAGGAGGAGCTGGGAATGCCACAGAGTGCCCAGCCTCTCTAGAGCAGCCAACAGCAGTCTGTGGTCAGGGTCAGCCATCAGGAGGAAGTTCTGAAGTCAGCTGCTCGTCAGTCAAAGCTGCAGTTAGCGCCAGTGAAGCAGCGGTCAGTGAGTCGGCCTCTGGATCAGGACAGGCTGTGATTGCTTGAACACTGCTGCTCTTGAGGCCAGTGCTTGTTTAGCTGCTGGAGAAGGAGACACCTGGTGGCTGGTAGAACCCAGTTGATTCTGTAAGTGTTGGGTGTGAGGCTTACCCTTGCCTGGCATGGCCCTGGGTCTTCTTTGTAGCTTGGTGTCTTATTGCCACAAAGAGTCTGTTCCTTCAGCCTTGCGATCTCTGTTGTAGCATTAATGCCAGTCAGTGGTTGCATCTGAACTGCGAAGGGAGTGGGTATAAATAACGTCCCGTCTTGTTGTGGTCAGGAACTCAGTGTTTAAGGTTTCTCTGGGGTCCCCTGGGTCCACTCATGTGGGAGTGGGGTGGGGGCTTAGGATTTTATTCTTAGTTCTCAGGACCCTAACTAAAAAACTGTCAGTTGGCTGGATGCTATGGCTCACGCCTGGGAGGCCGAAGCAGCTGGATCACCTGAGGTCAGGAATTCAAGACCAGCCTGGCCAACATGGTGAAACCCTGTCTCTACTAAAATTACAAAACATTAGCTGGGCTTGGTGGCAGGCGCCTGTAATCCCAGCTACTCGGGAGGCTGAGGCAGGAGAATTGCTTGAACCCAGGAGGTGGAGATTAGTGAGCCGAGATTACACCACTGTGCTCCAGCCTGGGCAACAAGAGTAAAACTCTGTCTCAAAAAAAAAAACACAACTGTCAGTTTTGAACAATTAATTTATATTGAGCCCTCAAGTAAAATAGTCATCTGTTTGACTTGTACCCAGAAGTTTCAAATTACATATAAGTTCATGGGTAATTTGACTTCTTTTTGTCTAAATGAATGGAAATTATCTTATTGTGTACAGTAGACCAATGAGTCACAACGTTCTCCAGTCTCAGGCAAGCTGGTGACTTTCTGCTCTTTTCCCACAGTGGGACGACCCTGGGACAGTCTCCACTGGGGCAGATCCAGCTGACCATCCGGCACAGCTCACAGAGAAACAAGCTCATCGTGGTCGTGCATGCCTGCAGGTGGGGGCTGGGGTCGCCACGCACCTGCTGCGTTGCTGCTGAGTGTGGATGCTGGATAGGATGATGCAGATACCCCCCTCTAGGATTACCAAACATCCATTTATGTTTCGTTTAGAAAGGACAAAGCAATTAAACCCCCACAGACGGTGCTTATAAAGGGTGTCAACACTGTCTGTGTCACATGACGTTTTGATTCCTGAAGTACAACGGTCCCCTAAGATCATACCATATTTTTAATGTACATTTTATGCATTTAAATAGATACGGTTTGGTGCAGTGGCTCACGCCTGTAATCTCAGCACTTTGGGAGTCTGAGGCAGGCGGATCACCTGAGGTCTGGAGTTCGAGACCAGCCTGATCAAAATGGAAAAACCCTGTCTCTACTAAAAATACAAAATTAGCCGGGTGTGGTGGCGCATGCCTGTAATCCCAGCTACTAGGGAGGCTGATGCAGAATTACTTGAACCCAGGAGGCGGAAGTTGCTATGAGCCAAGATTGTGCCATTGCACTCCAGCCTGGGCAACAAGAGCGAAACTCTGTCTCAAAAAGAAAAATAAATATGTCACAATTGCCTGAGTATTCAGCACAATAGCATACTGTACAAATGTGTAGCCTAGATCAGGAGGAATGTGTGTGTGTGTGTGTGTGTGCGCGCGCGCGTGTGTGTGTGTGTGTAGACAGAGTTTCACTTTGTCCCCCAGGCTGGAGTGCAGTGGCACGATCTCATCTTACTGCAACTTCCGCTTCCTTGGTTCAAGCAATTCTCCTGCCTCAGCCACCCGGGTAGTTGGGATTACAGGCGTGCACCACCTCGTCCGGCTAACTTGTATTTTTAGTAGACACTGGGTCTCACCATGTTGGCCAGGCCTCCCGAGTAGCTGGGACTATAGGTGGAGGCCACCAGGCCTGGCTAATTTTTAATTTTTTTGTGGAGATGCTGGTCTCTAATTCCTGGCCTCCCACAAAGCACTGGAATTATAGACATGAGCCACCATGACTGGCCTCATCAGGAAAAATTTATTTTAACTTGTTCGTTATATTATTTTAATAAGTATAAAGTCAGGTGACTTGCTTCAATTGCGTTTGGTTAGCAATGATACTGTGGGCTTATGAACTATTTTCCTTTTATTGCCGTTTTCTCTGTCCCGTTTGGTTTAAAATATGATATAAAAATTTGGAGCTTATAAGTAGCTGTTGGAAACATAGGAAAATAAAATTAGCACCATTTAGAAAGATGATGTAACTGTAGAGTTCAATACATCACTCTTGAGAAGTTCGTATATTCTTGCCACTAAGATAATGACCGTGGGGGATACTGTTTGAGAGGAGTCTAGCGAAACAATCCCTACTAGACTTTGGGGTCAGTCAGCAAGCGAAGAATGTGGGGGCCCGTGCAGCTGGGCACTTGACCGCGTTTGGCAAAGGAGCAGCCCCCATCTGGAGGAGTAGGCATTGTAGGGTGGAGGCAAGCAGCCCAGGCAGGTCTGTGGGTGTCTCCTGGGGGCCTGGCTTGCTTGGCTGTGAGAGAGAGAATAGCAGAAGCATTGTGGAACAACAGCCATCACTCTGTTACAAGCAGAGACCAAGGACTTAGAACGTCCTGCAAACTCTGGGCTCAAGAAATGAAGGCCGAAGTCACCGCTGAGAAAGCCACTAAGAAAGGAGTTTGGGAGATGCCACCAGGCAGCCATCAGGGGAGGCAAAAGCGCCTCGCACATTCTGTTCCTTGTTACTTCTCAGTTTTTAGATAAACACGAAATCAAAGCTTGATAAAGCACATCTGAATGTGCTGCTAATTCTCTTTTTCTTGATCCTAATACCTTGTCTTCTCTGGTTTGTGTTGTAAGAAACCTCATTGCCTTCTCTGAAGACGGCTCTGACCCCTACGTCCGCATGTATTTATTACCAGACAAGAGGCGGTCAGGAAGGAGGAAAACACACGTGTCAAAGAAAACGTTAAATCCTGTGTTTGATCAAAGGTACGATATTTTATCCAGCCGCGGATAGACTGCCTGGTTGAAGTGGCAGATTAAGAAGGCCCTAAATGGTGCCTTTGAATGGCCGAAGCACAGAAATCAGCTGTTGAGAAGTTCAGTCAGAAACCAAATTTCAGCAAACATACATCTCAAAACAAATAAGTATTTTGGCCTTTACGTAGAAGCTCTAAATATAGTAAATTCAAGTTATAACCCTGTGGACACGGAGACTAGTGGTTAAATAAACATCAAGTTATTGATGGCCCTGAAGAAGTCAATTTTGGGGGTTCTATCTGTTGACATTTTGGGGGTTCTATCTGTTGACATTTTGGGGGTTATATCTGTTGACACTTTGAGGGTTATGTCTGTTTACATTTTGGGGATTGTATCTTGACATTTTGGGGGTTCTGTCTTGACATTTTGGGGGTTCTGACATTTTGGGGGTTCTGTCTGTTGACACTTAACTATGTTATCAATTAAAACTGAAAATTTAAGGATACATCTATTTTTAGTTTTGTTTTAAAATAACATAAGCCCCAAAAATCTTAAAGTATGACATATTGAAAAAACAACTGTATTTCCAAAAATAAAAAACATATTAATGAAAAGAATAATATTATTCTGCATTTTTGCTCATCTCTTTAGTGGTCTGGCTTGAGAGGCTAGAGTCTGCTTCTGTGGTCAGGGTGATTTGGCAATGTCCTTAGAGGGTCTCAGGAGACCCCCCCAGGGGTCATTGGCCCCCACTTAAAGAGCCGCCAATCTGTACCAATTTGGTATCTTACATAATTGTCCCCTGGTGCTTCGAAACCCACCCGTGTTTTGGGAAATGATAATAATACAGTTACTATTATGTATGGTGTCGCTATCTGCTAATTCAGTTTACGTTGCATCTTTAAACATCCTCGGCATTCATTGTACTTTCATACAAGTAGCTTTATGTAAACCACGCATCAGAAACTGGCAGGCCTGCATCAGCCCCTGATGAGGTTGTGCAGAGTGCTCCTATCCATCCGAAGCATTTAAGCATCTGGGGACTCCACTTGCCCATCTGGGTTTCCAGCACTGTAGCCTGGGGCAGGCCCCCGCCAGCCCCCGGGAGAGACACCCTGCAGGCTACTGAGTGCAGCGTCTGGCTGAGCATCACGAGGGCCTTGGAGGCCTTGTCCCTCCTGCGAAGCTGCAGGCGCGTACTTTTTTTATTGGAGAGAGTGGGAATAGGGCCTGAAGACTGAACGGGTGACTGGAAAGCCTGAGTGAGTGGGCTGTTCTGGAATTGCTGTTTTGTCAACACTATCCCATATTTTAACCCCCAGGAAGAGTCAGACATGTTCAGAGATGCTCCTCACCCACCCATGAGTGAGCCAGGGACCGTGGGACCCAGACATCTGTGGGTGCCAGAGCCTTTTTTTATGTGTGGGAAACAAAAAGAATGTTGGTTTTTGAGTCTTCCTGAAATGCCAGATGAAAACATTAGGTAGAAGAACTCAGTTTTATAATAAAAAACAAACATGACATTTGGAATGATCTCATGAGCAGAAATGCCATTTTTAGTTATGAGAAAATACAACAGAATGATGGATAAAGTTAAGTAAGGCTCTCGTTTCCTGTTTCAGCTTTGATTTCAGTGTTTCGTTACCAGAGGTGCAGAGGAGAACACTCGACGTCGCCGTGAAGAACAGCGGCGGTTTCCTGTCCAAAGACAAAGGGCTCCTTGGCAAAGTAAGTGCCAAACAAATCCCCGATCAGTTCCTGCGATTTGTAAAATTGAACATTTACCTGCAGTGCAGTGTTGAGACCATATCTGTGCAAGCGGAAAGGGTGAACTTACGAGGTCAGTGCTTGTTTATAAATCGTGGGCTATAAAGACAGTGAATAAAACATCTGTGCTTTCTGAAAATATTTTAAGTTATTTTAATTGTTTTTACATATTCAGATTATTGATTCATTAACTGTACTAATACCATGAACTTGTAGTTGAAGATTTTTTTTTAAGTCTTCAAATTTTTGTTCAAGTATCACATTGAAGGAAAATAATCTCTTACAATTCCATCTCCTCAACTGACGGCTCTGCTCTTTTTCTGAAATTCATTGGCTTTATTTATCTGAATTTCTTCTAGTCTTTGTCCATATTCACATTTAACTTTGGCATGTGGGTGTGTTATTTAAGAATGAAAGTAGAGTTCAGTTAGGGAGGAGGAGATTTGAGTCACAGGCATCATTTCGTCAGCTGTGCTGCCATGAAGGGCACGTGGGCCAACGCTCCTGTGAGTCGTCTCCGCTGATATTCTGTCATAGCTGAATTTTAAGACTGCTGGTTGCATGAAGGATTTCTTAGATGTACTCAGCCATGTAGCTTACAGGTGCTCACAGGGGTAGAAAAGATTGAAAAAACAAGAGCCTTCAAAATAGAAGAGTCCATATTCCTAGACGAAGACAGAAGATGAGAGAGCTGAGAAGAAGTGGTAAAAGATCTAAAAGACATCGCCTTAGCCTACTTTATGTATTTGTGTATTTATTTAGAGATAGGGTCTCTAGAAGCACAGGCTGAAGTCCAATGGCATGATCATGGCTCACTGCAGCTTCGAATCCTGGGCTCAAGCAATCCTGGTCTCAGCCTCCCGAGTTGCTGGGACCAAGGCGCATGTCAGCACACCCGGATAAATTTTTTTTTGTTTTTAGTAGAGACAAGGTTTCACTCTCTTGCCCAGGCTGGTCTCAAACTCTTGGGCTTAAGCAGTCCTCCCGTCTTGGCCTCCCAAAGTGGCGGGATTATAGGCGGGAGCCAGTGCCCCCAGCCCAGCCTACTTTAACTACTTTTTTTTTTTAAAAACCCACAGGTATTGGTTGCTCTGGCATCTGAAGAACTTGCCAAAGGCTGGACCCAGTGGTGAGTGTCCCTGCTACAGACAGAGAACCCCAGCGTGTAGCTAAAAACGCTTTCCCCGCCCAGTGGGTAGTGTCCCCTACAGACAGTGGTGGAACCCGACACATATCTGATAGGCTTTTCATACTTGGTCCTGTGTCCATCACCACCTTCCTGTCACTGTCTTTCTCAGGTATGACCTCACGGAAGACGGGACGAGGCCTCAGGTGATGACATAGCCACACCAGGCAGGACGGGTCCTCTTCAGCATAGCTCCTCAACCTCTGCCCGGAACACCCCCTCTCACAGACGTACCAATGTTATTTTTATAATTTCATGTATTTAGTTATACATACCTTAGTAGTTTTATAAAGTTGTTGACATTTTAGGCAAATTTGGCCAATATTATCATTAAATTTTATATGTTGGATTTCCTCTAGGATTTCGCCAGTTCCTACAACGTGCAATAGGGTGGTGGTAGCTCTTGTGTCTGTGGACTCTGCTCAGCTGTGTCCGTAGGGGCCGGATGTGTCTGTGCTTTACTATGGCCTTGTTTATATATCAGTGAGGTATACTATGCTATGTAAATAGACTCTATATTTTTTATAATCTTTACATGCTGGTTTAAATTCAGAAGGAATAGATCAAGGAAATATATATATTTTCTTCTAAAACTTATTAAATTCTTGTGACAAATAATCATTTTCATCTTTGCGGCAAAAAGTTCTCAGTGACCTATTTTGTGGTGTTTCTTTTTAAAAAGAAAAGCTGAAAGATTATTAAATGTTAGTATGTTTCTGCTCGTTATGAATGATGAAATAAAGTATTCAAAATATTAACATTTTCATAAATATAAGGATGTATTACTGAGAAGTTGAAGGGCTTATGAAGAAAAATGTTTTATAACTGAGTAATATAAGATATTAAGAGAATTATGGTTCATAAATCATATACTAATCTGAAATTTCTTATATAAAAATGAAATCTTATGTTTATTTTAATTGCTGTTGTAACTTACTCATGAAACAGTATACAGACACCTTGTACTTTTCCTAGACTATAAGAACAGACTTTCCATGTTAGCAATTAAGCTATTGTCAAATAGTCAGTCATGAGCGGTTAATTTTCAATGTTTTCCCAGCCTATAAAAAAAGGAAGGTGCACGCTGCCCTTTTAAAGGTTGTGAGGTAAATTGGGATGAGTAGACAGGATATTGCATTAAAAATTGGAAGCTCGGTCTCATTATAGTCAGGAGCAGCCAGCGTGACCTCACACATAGGATGGGGGACGTGTGAGCCAATGTGCACTGGCCACCACCAGGGTTGGGGGCGCCACAGCTTCGAGTCCAGCCCCCGCTGTTCTCAGCAGCCACTTCCCAGGCTGCCTCACTTTATGCCGTGACTAACCTTAATATTGGGATATTGTTATGCAATTTTTATTCTGTTTAGACTATTAAAAGCATTTTTATGTACTTAAGAGTCCCCCAGACCTCCTGTGAGGTGAGGCTCTGTTGCAGTGTCTGTAAAGAAAGGATGCACATATGTAGACGATTAAGTGTATATTATAAGCTGTATACTGAAAATGGCTTCCATAGCCATGAGAACATCTTAAAACTATGTATAAATATATTAAGGAAAATAGAGCTTTGTAATTTAAATTGGAGCTCTTAGCTTGTTTAATGGAACTACACAACTTGTGGGTAACTCACATGACCAAACAAACCGAAGTGCCTGTGACGGAGGCCGGTGGCCAGTGGCTGTCTGCCCACCCTCCCTTCTAGCAGATTTAGATTTTGCTTCCATTTGTAACCTACCCTTGGCGGGTGGCTGTCTCCCCACCCTCCCTTCTAACAGATTTTAATTTTGTTTCCATTTATAATTTCCACTTTGAACCATGGGTTTACTTAGAATGAGTCTGTAGCTTCACAGCATATTTCATGTAATCATAAAGACCAGTATAGTCTGTCTCCTACTGAATGACATTTGACTGTAAAGCCTCTTGATAAACCATTTCCAATGTTAGTATATAGGATTATTTGGGAAGCATATCAGTACCTTTATAGACACATATGTACGTGTATGCACACAAAACATTTATGGTATTTATGGAAGACATTACATCTAGTTGCTTTCCCATAGTATGAGATTTGTTGAAGGTTTTTTACAAATCAGGTCTATTGAAAGTCTTCTGTCGTAATCTATAAAGAAGCAGCACTCATTGAAATTGTAGCCAGTAATTTTTACCAATATCCCATCCATCTGAGTTCTGCAGTCCTGTGTGTAACCCGCTCCGTGTGTATTTTGCTTAATGGAAGGCTTTATTTAAGCACTTAGGCAGAGTAGACACAATTAAAGGTACAAGCCCAGAGGAAGGTTAAGCAGCACCGTGCCTGCCCTGAGGCAGTGGAGTGGGAAACGCTGTCTCCAGGGCCTTGAGTGCCTGGAGGTTCGTGGCCTCCAGTAGCCGGCTCCTTTCTCTTTGAAAGAAAGGAAGGAAGGAAAGGGGGTGATTCTGAGGCACTGAAGTACCTCCCAGACGTGGAGGGGAGAAGCCACCCTCAAGGCCACACTCAGCACTCCAGGATCCCAGCGATGTCAGACACTCTTGAGTTCTCAGAATGTTAATTTTCAGTTTTAAATAATTAGTTTAAGAAAAGGGAATTTTAACTTTTCTACCTTGAGTCAAGCCAATGAAGGGAAAATGAATTAACTTAGTAAATTTGAAGTGCAGCTCTGTTACCTAGTACATGTGGGTTCTTATCCTGATCCTGTGCCTTAAAGTAGGAAGGTGTTTCCAAGTTCAGATTAAAACAGAAGCAGCTGACTGGGCCTGGTGGCTCACACCTGTAATCCCAGCACTTTGGGAGGCCAAGGTGGGCGGATCACCTGAGGTCAGGAGTTCAAGACCAGCCTGGCCAACATGGTGAAACCCTGTCTTTACTAAAAATACAAAAATTAGCCAGGCGTGGTGGTGGAGTGCACATCTGTAATCCCAGCTACTACTCAGGAGGCTGAGGCAGGAGAATCACTTGAACCCAGGAGGTGGAGGTTGCAGTGAGCTGAAATCGCGCCACTGTACTCCAACCTGGGCAACAGAGTGAGACTCCATCTCAAAAAATAAATAAAATAGAAGCAGCCTTGTAACTGTATTTACCATGATAGTATATTCTGCACGGTAAAAATTCCTTTTACAGACATTCTTTATCAAGAGGTCGGCCCTTCTTTTTCAGGCACTTAAGCCAAATGCAGACCTGTGTGTAGCTGTGTGTTTTCTTCTGTGTTTGCCGCATTTATTCCACCTCCAGCTGGACCCCCCACTGCAAATAGAGAACAACGGTGGGGGGTGCGGGTTAAGTAGAGAATGTCCTTTCTGTTCAACTAATTTCACATGACAGTGCATGTATTTATTCAATAAAACTTTTACATTAGCTCACTCGTGATTTGTTTTTTCTCTGTCTTTTGAAGGGAGGTGTTCAGTGTGCAGTCAGATAATTTGAAAGGAGACGTCATGCACTGTTTTCATTTGCTGTCTCCACTCGCATTTTCCGAGCAGCTACATCAGAGCAGCTGACATCCTTCCTGTTGCTCCCAGCTCAGTTTGACTCTCCTCTGCCCAGCACATTATACTCTGCATGTCGAAAACAGCTCTTCTAAAGGATAATCATGTGTAGAAAAAATAGACTAGAAATGTGTTTTTAACCAGGGCGCTGAGAAGTGCAGCGGGGGCTGCCAAGTCGTCTGAACGTTGGAACACGCTGAGGGTGATACTGGAGTGTCCCTTCCTGTTGCGTTCGTTACTGGTGGTCGGGGTCGACTTGAGTGGAGCCCTTGTGCTTTTCCTTGTAGCCACTCGGCATTTAACACGGTGCACTTCCTTTCTCCTTGATTGTGGGCCATCCTTCCTTGGCCTCTGTAGCGCCTTCCTCTGTATTTTCCTTGCACGTTACTTGCCATTCCCAAGGTTTCACTGTCTTCTCCTCCAACCAGACTCAATATTGGCATAATGTGGGTTTTGGTTCTGATCACTTTTTATTTTTATGTGGTGTTCTAAGTACCATCAATACCCTGGTTTCCAGATGTATGTCACTGATACAGATGTTCTCTGAGCTCAGGACCAGTTCATCCCACTGCACCCCCATCCTCTGCGTCACATGGAGACCTCAAGGCACACCCTTCGTCCGTCTGTCTGTCCATCATCTGTCTTGGTGCTGGAGCTGAGACCCGGACAGCACCAGCCACCTCCCACTGCCTCAGCCCACATGCAGACACCAAGTCCTTGAGCCCTAACTGGAGAATGTGTCCACCTCAACTCTGTCCCCTCAGTCCAAGCCACCGTCCCTCTCCATTTCTCAGTCTTTCTCCCCTACCTGCCCCATTTTCCATGCAACAGCCAGGGGATCTTTCAGACACATCACACTCAGCTGTGTGCCGCTGCTCAAGACCAAGAGCATTTCCTGGCTCCCAAGGCTGAGTTTCTTCTTCCACTGGGACCCCTCTCCACCGTACCTTGACCAATGCCACAGACGGCCCCGCCCACTCCCACTCAACAGCCCACAGACGGCCCCGCCCACTCCCACTCAACACCCCCAGGCATGCTCCTCCCAGCAAGTACCTCCACACCTGCTCCAGCACCTCCACACTTGCCCCTCCCCCCAGCACATCCACATTTGCTCCTCCCCCCAACACCTCCACGCTTGCTCTAACCCCTGTACCTCTACACTTATTCCCCACTCCAGCACCTCCACATCTGTTCCTCCTCCCCCCAGCACCTCCACACCTGCTCCCCGCTGCACCCCTCTGCACATCCACACTTGCTCCCCACTCCAGCACCCCCACACTTGCTCCTCCTCCCCCAGCACCTCCACACCTGTTCCTCCCCCTAGCACCCCCACACCTGCTCCTCCCCTAGCACCCTCCGCTCCTCCCCACCAGCACCCCACACCTGCTCGCTCGCCGCACGCCCCACACTGCTCCTCCCCCCAGCACCCCCACACCTGCTCTCCCCGCAGACCCCCTACACCTGCTTTTCCTCCCCCAGGCACCCCCACACCCTCCTCTTGTCCCCAGCACGCCCCGACCACCTGCTCTCTCCCCCAGGACCTCCACACCTGCTCCTCCCCCCAAGCACCTCCACACCTGCTCCCTCCCCCACACCCCAACCTGCTCCAACCCCAGCACCCCCGCACCACCTGCTCTTCCCCAGCGCACGCCCCCACACCTGCTCTCCCCGGAGCACCCCCAACCAT